CTGAAGGAATCCCCGCCTAAATTAACCTGGGTACAATATTTTGAATTTAAAAACTGGAATATTTCTTCACTTACAATAAGGCTTTACGGTAATACATAACTAGCAAAAACAACTGAAGCTCTCTACGTAACTCGGAACTGCCAATTACCCTCACTAAAAAAGAAGAGCTTTAGTATGTTTAAAACCAAATTGTGGAAAATCAACCCATGTAGGATTTTTCTAGATGGATTAAGAAGCTAAAGAAAAAAATTAAAATCAATAAAGGCTGTGAGTTGGAACGGCCACTTCAAAAAAACCAAGGCAAAATGTAACGTAAGAAACATTTTCTTAGTATTTGCTACCTCACCATGAATTGTAGAGCAATGGTACGCCTTTGGGAAGGCTGAGATAATGTTTTTAAAATAGCTTTTGCCACCCTAGTATAACAGAAATTTTCTTCTAGCATAACTGGAAAACACTTCCAGAACAGTAAGAGAAATAAATATATTCATTCAACAAACATTTATTGAAGGGATACCCTCTGGCAGGCACTAGACGCAAAATATACAATGGTGAAAAAGACCACCATGAGTTCTTTCTCAGAAAACTTCCATTCTAGAGGGAGAATCAAAAATCAAGTAAACAGATCAATAAAACAACTGTGTACTGTGATAAGTACCTCAAATTTACCAGCTCCCCACCCCCCAAAAAAATCCTAAAACAACAGCTAAAAATTAACAGGAGGCAATGGTTCTAAAACAAACCACAATGGATATTTTGGTCTATTTTATCACAGGCCTTTTAAAATTGCTTAAGTGCTTGTTTTCATAGTTGTAATCCTATGTCACTTCATATACAGTATCTTTCATTTAAAGTTCTCTCCTGAACATTTTCTATACTGAAATACATTACTAATGAACAGAAGTGTAAAAACCGTTTTCATTGTTAAATATGCTAACACTTACAGAGCACTGTGTAAAAGACACTTTCTATGTCAGCTCATTTAATCTTCATAACAAGCCTCTAAGATAGGTATTTCTATTATTCTCATTTTATAGATTAAAAAAAACTAGAAAGTTTAAGTAACTTATTGAAGATTATATAGTTAATTTAGAGCATAGTTAAGATTCAAACCAGGTGGTTGGACTTGCACTGAAGCTCTTGTCACAAAACTAAACTATTACTGCCTTAATGGTTGCATAATATTCCATCACTCTTATTTAGTACTTGGTACAAAAACTTTTTATAGGATAAAAATGAAAACAACAAAGACAGAACATATGGAGTGGCATGGAAGCAACAAACACATTTTTTTTTTTAATAAAAAGCACAGAAGCAGAAAAAAAGCTTCCTTTGCAATTTCTAAATAAAATGGGTCTAGGGAGAAGAGGAAAAATGAGCTTTCATAAATTATCCCCTTGGCAAATTTCTAAACATATCTAATCCAGAAGTGATTATGTATTTAGAATAACTTTTTTTTAAGTAAAGGAACAAATGCTTATTATGTACTATTTTCACCATGAAAGCATCAGCTAGAACCTTCCAAACATTTGGGATTGTGGGCAATAAGCAGCAAAGAATTCAGCCACCAGATGTGTCCAGGCTTAGCTGCATTTGCAATGCGTTGGCCTCAGCGAATCTAAAGGGTACTTGGAATCTTCTGAGGGCCTAGACACAATCTCACAAAAATGCCAGGCCCCAATCACCAATCAGGAGTGGTCTTACTTGCTGGAAGTTCTACATATAGAAGGGATACCTGTATGCGAGCCAAACCAGTGGGGGAATAATATAAGACCGTTTGTTGTATTAAAGCTAAAGAACACAACTCTCACCAGAGCTCTAGTTCCATCTGTGTCTCCTCATCTCACTTTTCAATGTCTCTGCATGTGTGTTTTATTCACTATTCCCCATCCCCACACCGTAGCATCACTATCATCAATTAGTTCTGAGTTCACTGAGTCAAGACCACGCACTTCAAACATTTCCTATTCCCCTAGAAAGTCTTTTTATTAAGCCTCAAGTAAAGATTAAAATGTAATAAAAGAGTTAAGAGCTTGTGCTTTGAAATCAGACTGTCCTGGATTCAAATCCTGGCCCCATCAGTCACTTCTGTTCTACAAACGTGGAGTAGGGGCAGAGTTTATGATTTCCTGTATCTAGATAATCTTCCATAATGCTTCATACATAGAAGGTGTTCGATAAACAGCTTCCTATTATATGTCTGCATATCTACATTTTCTGTGTATATTTAACAAGATCTAATTCTCTTCTCCATTTTTTTTTTGCCTCTAGGAAATATGTACCTGACAGATGTTTAACAGCTACATATCAGCAGTGAATGAAATGATGTTGGTACATAATTTGGTTGTAAAGTTTATAAAGTGCTTGGAGCTGAGAGAAATAGTGCAAATGAAGACTGTAAATGGACATAAAACATGAAATCTCTCTCTCACGAACCTAGCTTTTCTCCCTAGACTTATCTCTCCCAAACTAGGGATTCCTCTGTTTGTCTTTTGTTTTATTTTCCCCTTCCCCTAAGAGGAAGACACACCAACCTCATTTGCAGCAAGCAGCAACAGGAAGGGTCTGATTTATTTAGGACTTCCAGCACCAGGGCACAAAAATGTCAAAGTAGCTCCAAACCAAAGATGAGGCTACTTCACTTACGAAGCCCAATAAATGGATGGTAATCCCCGTCAATTACAGCGTCTTGTTACAAGAACAAGATCCAAAACATGGTCCACACCAGCAGCCATGAGATTTTGAATTATTTCATGGTTTGTTTGTTTTTTCTTTAAGGATGACATCTAATTTCCAAAAAGATCCCCTTTCTGGCAAAAATCCATCCACTGTCTTCCTCTGGAGCTTTGACACATGACATGTCACAGCGCTCCGGAGTGGGCTTCTGCCAGTGGTACAAACACTGATGGCGGGAGACAGGTACCGACAATGGCGCAGCTGCTGATGGGGACGCTGAAATCAACGCCTATTCTTCCCACGCCTTTGACTGCTCTAAAACAAATACAGCTTAATTTTATTTCCTGCCTGGCTTTGTATAATTCTGACATGTCCTCAGTCAAACACGACCCAGTCCTTCAATCAGGCCCTATTTTTCTGGAGATGGGAAAACAAGAGGAAGCTAAAGTAATTATTGAAAACTCATAAGCAGCAGCATTAGCCTAATTACCTTGACTTTCCTTTTTAATTTTTCCATCGACTGTCTCTTTTTAATATACAAGTATTGACTGAGCTGGTAGAGCCTGGTGCTGCTATGATAAGAACAGATGCCGTTGGGAAGCGAAATGTAATTAGGAGACCCGATGTTCTGTTCTTCCTTTTTCAGAAGCACACATGTACAGCACAGACTTTAGTTTGAGACCCTCTTAAGAATCACCAGCAGCATCACACAGCGAGAATCTTTGTTAAATGCCTTTGCTGTCTGGTGTGCCTTGGCCACCAGGGGGCAGCTGGGAAAAAGAAAAACAACCCCCTTTTCTTTGTTCCTCTTTTGATGTTAAAATAGGTTTCCCTTATTTTTAAGCACACGTTCTATTAGAACTCCCGGGTCAACAACTCCAGAGGGATGAGCAACCCAGGAATGAAGGTGACATCCTTTTGAGCTGCACGTGTTGCCTTTTAAATGCTGTTGTATTTAAAGTTTTAACTGGAAAATAACTAAGCAATACTGGGTGAGTGGCCCTGAATACTAATGTATCACTGACAAATGCTTTTAACAGTTCCTGATTCCTTGGTCAGGGAGAAAAGTGAAGTTTTCTTGCTGTAAAATATAAAACTCATTTGAAAAATAATTATTTCTAAGGGATTTTCAACTTTTCAATTTCTCATGTATCCACATTTTCGAGAACTTTAACAATATGTTGTAGGTTGAGAGTCTTAACTTGTTATCAAGGTGCACCTCACTATAAGCAGACACAATTTAGTAACGTTCTGTGGAAATCAGTTTTCTAGGAGCCAAGAAAACCTTGGCAAACCTGGGTGTCATGTTGCATTCGGTTTTATTTTATCCCTTAAAGCAACTCTAAGAGAAAATCAAGCAGGAGCAGTTAGCAATGCTAAAAGTAATCACAAATACCTGAAAGGAGGAATTCTCAAAGCATAAACCCTGGTTGCAAATTCTATTACATAGCCCAGAAAGAAAGAAGCATTCTTAAGGACTGGCAATAGTCATAAAAACCAAGATGGTGGTGCAAAACCCAAGAAGCATGGGGGATAGTGATAGGAGAAGGAAGCCAATGGATACGAAGGGGGTAAAATGAATGCAAGAATCGTTAGACTATAGAAGTGCTTAAAAAGTGGTATTCAGCAGAAATGGTGCACCGAGCAGCGGGAGCAGAAGTAGCAGAAACAGTTTAGAACCTATAAAATGTATTCTGATGACAACAAAGGTACATCAACTATAAAATGACAAGTCTGCAGTGTTTGGGGGGCAGTTAGTGAAAGGGCAAATGGATTTCTGTTAAAATAACTTCGTCAGTCCCTGAGGCATCATTGTAATCAGCTAGTAACAGACATAAACATATCATCAATCCAGATTAGCAAATGGCAAACAATTCATTGGAAGGTACTGATAAACAGTCATACTATGATCTATACAAAAGCGCATAACCATAAAAGTACATAATCTGTGTTTAAAAAGACAAAGGTAGGAAGAGAGATAGAGATAACTTGCTGGGAGGCAACCACAGGAGACAAAGGGAAAGGGAGACCAAAAAAAAAAAAGAGAAAAACACAGGGTAATCTTTCAGAAATTGAACTATAGCTCTTACTGACATCCTAGACATGGTAAAACGGAAAGAACCTAAGGAAGGATTTGTTGTCACAGGACTTGAATTGAAATCTGAGCTCCGCTATTTACTATGTATGGGACTGTTTCAACCAGGATTATTTCAGCTACAAATAATAGGAAACTGACTAAAGGTCATAAACAGTTTCATTCTAAGAAAGAGGAACCACTGTAGTTATTTTAAGCAGAGATTTAACATAAGAAATTTGGTGCTTACAGTATCATATTAAGAGCTGGTGGAGTTGGGTTGAAGCTGCGTTTCCAGGAATGATTCCAAAATAACACTGAAGAACTGACTCACCAGAGGAACTATGACAGCTGTCGCTATCAGGAAAGGGAGGGATTAGACTACAATGACCTCTGGGTAGTCCTGAAACTAGTCAGTGACTTTTAATATTGTTGCAAAAATGCCAACACCTCCATACTTGCTTCCAGAAAACAGACAAACCATAAGAAAACAGCCTTCACCTCAGTTCCCCGTTACAAATATCACATGAATGCATCTTGTAGGAAGAACCTACTTTATCACCTAAATTCTGCTGCAAGGGACACCAGGATACATAGTCATGGAAGGCAACGAGCTTGGAATAATTTCTGAGTGCCAAACCACCAGATTCACAAGTAGCTTAAACAACAGTGATAGACAGCAGCATTCATGACAAGAATTCCAAAGGCAAGGCAGTTTCAGAACTGGTTAACTCAGCGACGCTACAATATCATCCAGGACTCGGGGTCTTTCCATTTTTCTATTCTGTGAACATCAGAAGCTTGTCCCTTTTTTGCTTGCAAAATGGCTGCCACAGTTCCAGGTAACTCATGTACCTTCGACATTGCTGACAGAAACAAACAGGCCTATTTCTTTGTATTATCTTTCAGTCAGAGAAAACCTTACCCCAAATGCCTCAGTAGACCTTCTCCAGACTTGCTGACCAGAACTGTATTGTGTATTTGTGGCCTTGACCATTTTTGGCAAAAGAAACAGCATTAGCATGACTGGTCTAGACAAATCATGTTGCACCCTGAGGGAGAAAGGACCCTTCCCTGAGCACAGAGCCTTGCAGAGAGAGTCACCAGAATAAAATTACTACTTGATAGCTAGGAAGATGAGGGGGTGGGGTACAGGGTGGTAGGCAATCAACAGGTTAAGCAAGTTGCTTGAAACCCACTCTCTGTCTTACTTTCCTTAATTCGGATGCTAATATCACCCCACTCAGCTAAGAGGGGCATCATGCCATGGTAACCTACGCCTATGATCTCACAGGACCATCATTCCTGGAAGATCATGTGAAGTGACATATAAAAATTTCTGCAGACAGTGTGAGAGATCATCATTATTACTGTCAGAGGGAGTGAGGAAGGAGACTTCTATTCTCACAAAGTACCACCCTCTCCAAATAGTGTTAATTGAAAGGGCAAATAATTGTCTCTAGGGAAAGCAATTTGCTGAGATGGTGTGTTTCTGAAGCGTTTTATATTGTCATTATGGACAAGAAGGCTAGAATCTATCTGAAGAAAGATGACCAGTAAACCATGAAGCTTCCCAACAGTTGGAATGTCTCCAGAGAACTTTTTTGTTGTTTTTAACCAGAGACTATCTTAAGCAGTGTCACTATGTTGATGAAGCAACTGCATTTATGATGCATGTTAACTACTATTCCAGCAGGTAATAATGGATAGGGATTATTATTAATGCACATGCTAATATCCATGGAGGATCTCACATATAAAATGTGTAGATAATTGCAAATTTCATAGTCTTGGGTTTTCAAAACGTCCTAAGCTTACCTGTTGCTTTCAGGGTATAAGCTAATGCATATCAATTCCTTCTGCCAAGTTCAAACTTTTTTTTGTACACTCAGTGGAATTTCATTTCATATAGGTATATGAAGGTAACAAGGATGACTGCCTATTAATATGCTTGTTGTATCTTTCTGCTCACCAAAGGTAATTCACTGAATCAAATTACATTATAATATGAAGTATTAGTATAGAATTGATCTCATAAATTGATGTTGAAACTTTTCAAAGGAATTTCCCCTAATATTCTCATTTATTTACTCTCCATTTCGCTATATTGGAACCCTATACCTTCAAATACATTGAGCCATTATATAGGACTCTCAGCTCCAAGGTAACATTAATGATGCAATTCTACAAAGTGGCTATACCTGGAATTTTGTCATCCAGATATTATGAAAAGGTTGGGAAAAGCTTTGACTTGTAGAATAGTACCCTTTTAAGATGATAAAGAAGTTACTCAGAAGGCTAATTTGTTATTATGGTACCTTTGTAATGGGTGTACTTGGCCAAGCTAAACTCCCATTTCCTTGAATTCTCTTCCCTGGGTGTTCCCAGCTGGATGGGTTACAAAAGACATTCTTGCTTGAGATGTGAAGGATGGAAGTGAACCAGGAACCACTGTGTTCTATAGACTCAAGAGGCTGGCATCTTAATGCTGTTGCTGGTTCAAATCCTTGGCCTGGGCTGCTCACCTTTCCTTGATTCTCCTGGAGCCTCTTGGACTCCTATGCCTGGCATGTTTTTGCTCAGTGATGAGGGGGTCAACACTCCTGTAGGACACTCCTATCATCAGGGTCGGAGACAGTGAGAGGTGACACAAGTTCCAGCCCATTCTCACGGGTTCTAGCTCGTGCTTGCTCTCCCTCACTCGCTATCCCTCCCCCAGGTGCTACATGAGCTGTGAAGAAACTGTTTAACCAGAGTCCATGATTGCATAAGGCCAAGTCCCTGTAATGAATTTTTTATTATGAGTTTTTAAATTATATACACACAAACCTGCACGTGCTTCTGCTTTTCTAATTGAACACCAGTTTTTAAAAAGATTTATTTATTTATTTGAGAGAGTGCAGTGTTTGTGTGTGTGGGGGGGGAGGTGGTGCGTAAAGGGTGAGAGAAAATCCCAAGCAGACTCCTTGCTGAGCATACAGAGCCCAAAGCACAGGGCTTGATCCCATGACCCCAAGATCATGACCTGAGCCGAAATCAAGAATCGGACATTGAACCAACTGAACCACCCAGGTGCCCCTGAACACCAGTCTTTAATACCATAATTAATTTGTTGGAATATCATTCCATGGCATACTGCCCATAAAAATCTTTATTTTGAAAAGAAATGATCAAAAGTAAGTTTTTAAAGTTCCTATACTGCAGTAACTGACAGATGTGTGAATCATCAAGAAATGGATAGCCTTCTTAAAGAGGCAAGAAAAATTCCTACACATTTAAGAGAGATTTCCATTTGAAAAGGTTCAAAACTAAGTTTTAGTATTAAAAGCTAAACTTTAGTTATCTGCTAAATTTTGCTTTCAAAACTTCTTATTCTCCTGTCGTTGTAGAAAACTTTGCCATTGCTGTAGTTGAATTTTTGACTTTTCCAATCACATATATTAGAGTAAATTATAAAATGAAAGTAACAAAGAGAATATTAAATATACAGATCTCTGTATTGGGGAGGGTAATCGCTGCATCTATTGGTCAAAAGGGTTAAGAATAGGAGTCTTCTAAAGCATGTTAGTCATTATTATGGTAAATATGCATAGATATGGTTCTACAATGAAAGTACACTGAAAGTGGGGTACCTGGGTGGCCCAGTCGGTTAAGCGTCTGACTCTTGATTTCGACTGAGGTCATTATCTCAGGTTCGTGAGACTGAGCCCCACAATGGGCTCTACGCTCAGCAGGGAACCTGCCCATACTTGGCTCGCTCGCTCTCTCTCTCAGATAAATAAATCTTAAAAAAACCCCAAAAACCCACAAAGCATTAGCTTGCTTCATGAGTTTTAGATGTAACATTTTACCTCAACAACTTACAGGGAAGACTCTATGAGTACCTCTCTTATACTAATGAGGAAACTAAGATGAGAGAGAAATAACTTCCCTAGGATCACCTAAGAGGAAAGTGGCAGGACAAGGCACTGGGCCCACTCTTGTATTCCTACTCTCATGCTACAACTTTTAAAATTTATACAAAATGTTTAGAAATTGAGATACTGCTTATAATACTCAATTACTCAACATACAATGCCTCTGTCTTATCTCAATGCCCCCACTTATATTCCCTAACCAAACCGTCTAGGTATAACCAGTTTTCTCTGATCAGAATGTAAGTTTCCTGAGGCCAGGTCCATAACCTCTTCATGACACTTCCAGATACTTCAGAGTAACAGGCATACAGTCATGGTTTTTGTGAATCAATACTTTGTGGTATTTAAATGCCAACTGGTATAAGCCTCTTAATGCCACATACCGTATCTCCTATTTCTAATTCTTTACAAACGGCAGGTACTCAGTCAAGCCCTATTAATTTTAATAGTCAGCTGGTTTTTTAATCTGGCAACACAAAGTTGAAAACAGATATAGATCCAGCTTTTTTTTCCACTGAAAAGATCTATAAAAATGATACATAGACCCATTCACCAAATGACTTAACTCTACAACAAAAGGGGGGGGGTTTATCCTGAAGCTTAAAGGTCATTTCAGAACAACTCCGAGAAAGTATTAGAAACAGGGGCACCCAGGGGACTCAGTCGGCTAAGCGTCTGACTCTTGATCTCAGCTCAGGTCTTGATCTCAGGGTCATAAGTTCAAGCCCTGCACTGGGCTCCACACTGGGCGTGGAGCCTAGTTTAAGGGAAAAAAAAAAAAAGTATTATAAGAAGATGTATAGAACTTGTTGCTATTCAAGGAAACAATGCAGATTCAAAATAATGAAGACTGCAAAAGAGTTCTGATAAATTAAAAGTACACATTCATTGTGAAAAAGGTAAGATAGCTTGATGTCATGAAGTTCAATGTTGTCCTTTCACAAAATGTCTTTTGTTGCTCTGTTAGAAAAAGCATAGTCCTACACTATGGTGGGTATTCTTGAAAGACTATAGAGGGAGGAATATCCGTTTTCAGGCCACCACACATAATTTGCATTCATATTACACTTTATAGTTTAGATTGCACTTCTGGATCTCAGGTTTTACTTCAGTCTCCATTTGGGCCAGCTAGTTTCATTCTCTTCCACAGCTATAAACTTTCAAAACAAGCAATCTTTTTTATCACAAGTTCTACATACATTAAGGAAACCTAGAGCATGTTCATTTCAGTTCCTGGGGAAGAATTAAAATGGAGTGGAAGTAACAACGTAACTTGGAGTTGGAAGGGAGCTCACAGACATGCTGGTTGATACAGTAGCCCATCTGCAGCATCCCTGGACGTGTCGGTAACATTATCTTCAAATCGGAAGAAGCT